CTGTATTTTTATCCCCCCCCCCCCTCCCCTTTGTGCGCGTGTTACCATTTTAGGTGTGTAATTGCGGAGCTTTTTCTTGAGGGTCAGCCACTGTTTGAACTCTCTCAACTGCTTGCTTATCGCAGAGGACAATATGATCCTAGCCAACTTCTTGAAAAGGTATTCTTTGCTTTCTACTCTACCTGTATAAGCCTTCTTTTAACTTGACGACCATAAATTTAGAATGGTGGCATATCACTACCTGGAGCAATATTTTTCTGCTAAATGCTATATGCTGCCCTTCAATTGTTGAGATTCATTCGTTTGTTCTTGTATTAGATTTGACTTGTTCTATTTCAATCCTACTTGGTGTGGACATTAACTATATAAATTACATGGCACTGTGGCAGTCATTCGTTCCCTCTTTTATATTGACTTTTAATATATTTTGGTTACCTGTTCACCAATTGGATACAATGTTATTGCAGATCCCTGATTCTGGAATCCGCAAAATGATACTCCATATGATTCAGTTGGAACCAGAATCGCGACTTTCCGCTGATAGCTACCTTCAGGAATATATGACCATCGTGTTCCCAGGCTACTTCTGTCCCTTTTTGCATAACTTCTACTGCTTCTGGAATCCTCTTAATTCTGATATGAGGGTCGTACTGTGCCAAAGTTTTTTCCATGAGATTCTCAAGCAAATGATGAGTAGTAGGTCAACTGATGAGAATGGTACAAATCTGGGTGTGACTCCAAATGGCACTATGAGTGGAAAATTATCTCAAGAGATGAATGCCAAGCAGAGTGCAAATTTGGAAAACAAATTGTCCTTAAAAAGGGAAGAAATAGATAAAGGCTTAAATTGTCAACAGTTTGAACTTCTTGGTGATTTCAATTCGCTACTGAGGGATGCAAAACAAAGTAATCACTATTCTGCTACTAAGCCAATTTTGGAAAATGTTCCCAGTTCTGAATTGTCTCAAAACCTTAGGAACTTTGGCACACAATCTCCTGGTGAGCTACTTCAAACCATCTCCACTGCATTTAGGAGAAATCAGCATCCCTTTGTGAAAAAGATTGCATTGGAGGATTTGAAATTGTTGATGTCCAAGTACGAAAGCGAATCGGATACCTATGACGTGCCTGTTTCACCACTTCCTGAAGATGGCATGACTTGTGAGGGCATGGTTCTAATTACCTCTCTTCTCTGTTCTTGCATACGCAATGTGAAGTTGCCTCACTTAAGGAGGAGGGCTATACTCTTTCTGAAGTTTTCTGCGTTATACATTGATGATGAAAATCGCTTGCAACGAGTGCTTCCTTATGTTATTGCAATGCTTTCTGACCCTGCTGCAATTGTACGTTGTGCTGCCTTGGAGACTTTGTGTGATATTCTGCCTTTAGTCCGAGATTTTCCACCCAGTGATGCAAAAATATTTCCCGAGTATATCTTGCCCATGCTCTCCATGCTTCCTGATGATCCAGAGGAAAGTGTGAGAATATGTTATGCCAGTAATATCTCTCAGCTGGCACTAACAGCCTATGGTTTCTTAATTCACTCAATAAGCTTGAGTGAGGCAGGGGTTCTTGATGAATTGAGTACAGCACAAAAGCCATTACCATCGTCTGGGGAGACATCTGGTCGACAACAAAGGGTAAATAGTGATGCACAACTTGCTCAATTGAGGAAGACTATGGCTGACGTTGTTCAAGAACTTGTTATGGGTCCAAAGCAGACTCCAAATATCAGGAGAGCACTCCTTCAGGACATTAGCAACCTGTGCTGCTTCTTTGGCCAGAGACAGAGTAATGAGTATCTCTTGCCTATGCTCCCTGCTTTTTTAAATGATCGGGATGAACAACTAAGAACAGTATTCTATGGGCAAATCGTCTATGTATGCATCTTTGTGGGTCAAAGAAGCGTGGAGGAGTATCTTTTACCTTATATTGAGCAAGCTTTAAGTGATGTTACAGAGGCTGTCGTTGTCAATGGATTGGATTGTTTGGCCATTCTGTGCAAAATTGGTTTTCTACGAAAGAGGGTACTGCTTGAAATGATAGAGCAGACCTTTCCATTGTTATGTTATCCTAGTCAATGGGTGACAAGGTCAGCTGTCACTTTCATTGCTGCTAGTAGCGAGAACTTAGGGGCAGTTGATTCCTATGTTTACCTTGCCCGTGTTATTGGGCCCTTCCTTCGGAGACAACCAGCATCCCTAGCTTCTGAAGAAGCTCTGCTTTTATGTTTAAAACCCCCAGTCTCAAGACAGGTATTGTCTCAAGTCTTAGAAAATGCAAGGAGTTCAGACATGCTGGAGAGACAAAGAAAGATATGGTACAATTCATCACCACAGTCCAAACAATGGGAAACTGTGGATTCACTTCAGAAGGAGGTTGCTAATTCAAATCCAGTGAAGAGTCGGCTTGACAAGCAACCAAACCATGAGAGCCAAAAACCTGCTTTCAGTTCGTTGCAACAGGCGGAGCTAAGTGAGTGTAATGATGGTGAGGCTAAGATGAGAAGTATGGGAAGCCTAATACACAACGCTCCTAGCACAGTTGAAATTTATGATCCCTTGAGCTCCGAAAGGTTGCAATTCTCAGGCTTTATGATGCCACAAGGAAGTGCTGCAAATAGTTTCATGTGTGATAAACCATCTGAAGGCATACCCTTGTACTCCTTTAGCATGGACAGGCGAGCGGTGGGAATCCCTTCTGCATCTGATTCTCCATTACAAGTAAATTCTGGTGGATTTGGTACATCATCGTCCTTGCCTTGGATGGATCCTGCAAATAAATCATTTAGCTTGACTAGTTCAGTACCAACACCTAAGCTTGTTTCAGGCTCATTTAACATGAATAATGGATCTAAACAGTTCTATAGAGTTGTACATGAACCAGATGGCCGGGAAACTGATCAAACATCTTATGTCACTAGCAAGTTTCAAGACATGGGATTATCTAGTCCTGCAAAAGGAAATTCTGTCCCTTTGGAAGTTGCCTCCACTCAGACTGAACTAACAGGATTGCCATCTTACCTACGAACATCATCAATTCCAGATTCAGGTTGGAGGCCCCGTGGAATTTTGGTTGCACACCTTCAAGAGCACCGTTCTGCTGTCAATGACATAGCTAATTCAACAGATCAAAGCTTCTTTGTGAGTGCATCTGATGATTGTATGGTCAAGGTGTGGGATTCAAGAAAGTTGGAAAAGGACATTTCATTTAGGTCACGGCTAACTTATCACCTAGAGGGAAGCCGGGCACTCTGCGCCACAATGCTCCGGGGTTCTGCTCAAGTTGTAGTTGGAGCATGTGATGGTATGATACATATATTTTCTGTTGATTACATCTCCAGAGGTCTTGGAAATGTTGTTGAGAAGTATTCAGGTATCGCTGATATAAAAAAGAAGGATATCAAGGAAGGGGCCATACTTAGCCTTCTGAACTACTCCCCAGATAACACAACCAACCAGATGGTTATGTACAGCAGCCTGAATGGTGGGATCCATCTGTGGGATACAAGAGCAAGTTCCAATGCTTGGACGTTAAAGGCAGTTCCTGAAAATGGTTATGTGTCTTCGCTGGTGACAAGTCCTTGTGGAAATTGGTTTGTGTCAGGATCTTCAAGGGGTGCACTTACTCTTTGGGATCTGAGATTTCTCATACCTGTGAACTCGTGGCAGTATCCTCTAGTTTGCCCTGTAGAGAAGATGTGCCTTTTCATTCCTCCACCAAGTGCGTCTATATCTGTCGCTGCAAGGCCCCTTGTTTATGTTGCTGCAGGTTGCAACGAAGTTTCTCTCTGGAATGCAGAAGATGGAATCTGCCATCAGGTATATAGACAATTTATTTATTTGCTTTCTCAAGTATTTTGCAGGAAATTGATATAGTGAATTTTTCTTAAAGTATCTTTGTTGTATTTGCAGGTCTTAAAGGTGGCACACTATGACGGTGATGCTGAAGTGTCAGACCTTCTCTGGGCCTTAAACAAACCATTGAGCAGAAATTCTAAACCAGATGTGAGACGCAACATCAATCCCAAGTACAGAGTAAACGAACTGCAGGAACCTCCACCACGTCTTCCTGGTATACGTTCGTTGCTTCCTTTACCTGGGGGTGATTTGTTAACTGGGGGCACTGATTTGAAGATTCGTCGTTGGGATCATTACAGGTTTTGTTTTGAACTCATTCGTTGGTTCCATTGTTTACTTAAATCTAAGGGCTCTTGATTATCATTGAAAACTTGTACACATTGCAGCCCTGATCGAAGTTACTCTATCTGTGGACCAAATGGAAACGATGTTGTAAATGATGAATCCTATCAAACAAGTTCCAGTTTTGGAGCAAAAATTGTGCAGGTATGTTGGTGATAGGTCAAGATGGATCTTTTTATTTTCATAGGTTAGATTTTTCTTGAAGTAGTATATATGTGTACCATTCTTTGAAGTTCCGTGCGCTCCTGTTCTGAGCATAAAAGTTCTGTGCACTCCAGTTTGCTTTCCTTGTACTGTCCTTAATCTTATATGTGAGTGTTTTGAGAAATTAAGCACGGATTTAATCTGTGGTTGCCAATTGAGAACAACCATATGCAAATTGTTCGTCTTTCTCAACATCTATAAAATATAAAATTCTGAGTTCTAGAAACTAAGAAATTGATTTCAGGAAATTCCACTGAACACTTTATCCCACATACTTCTCTCTTTCTCCTTACAGTTATATTAGCCTTTCAAGCTTTTTGAAAGTGTCTGCTTATTTCTTTCTTGTTTTTGTGAGAAAGTTGAAAGTATTAAAACTATTTTATCAAATTTATTCACTTCAAATGCATGATTCTGAAGTTGGTTTCCTGACAAGCAGGAGAAGAAGAGGCGATCTCCTCCAACAGGCAAGAATACAGCGAAGACAGCTCTTGCAGCTGCTTCCACTGATCCTGCCGGTTGTCATCGCGATTCCATCCTTTCGTTGGCATCTGTCAAATTGAATCAGCGACTCTTAATCTCAAGCAGTCGAGATGGGGCTATCAAGGTTTGGAGGTGAATGACCAGAAGATAGCACATTGGCCTGATGTACATATGCAGCTATACAGTGCAAATTGAAAACTGTACATATATCTGTAATCTAAAGCTTGACAAGGTTCGGTTCTGATTTTGATCACAATGCTAGCTTCTAACCCTGGGCATATTTATGACGTCACAGCCCTGTTTGGTTTGTACAGATTGTAACTCCCAAGAAATAGTTAAAAACTTGAAACAAATCATATATATATATATATATATAGTACTAGATTTTGCCTCACCGGACGAATACTATCCTACTTGGTTGTTGTATTATTGAACCAGATAGAATGCAATTTCAACTAGAGTGGTGTTTAATTGAACAGGAGATACATTTAGTAAATAAAAGCCAACTCAATTTCTGTTAAAACATGTTTATTCATAATTTCCTTATCGTTTACTTGTTTTCGTACCTTACATCAGATTTGAATTTCTCATTGCTTAAATACTAAGTAGAGGAAATAATTGATGTTGTGTTGCCAAGAGAAAAAAAAAAAAAGGAAAAAAAAAAGAAAAAAAAAAAGAAACTAACGTTTATGAATGCATAAATCAAAGATGAATTGTTATGCATAGTCATCACCCACTGGAACACTACATCCCGGAAATTTCGTGTTGCACTAGTTTCCGCGACTCCTCGGTGTTCGATTTCTTTGCCATTTCAATGGCGTCGTCTATCCCGGAAAGGATTTAGATCCATAATCATTATACTTCGAGGGCCCATAAATCTGCACAAGGAAAGAACAAGAGTTGAAACGTCCTATAAAGGCATTGCTTGGACAAGTAATCAGTGACCAAGATAGGATAAGACATCTTATTCTAAATCTTTTACGCGAAACTTACCAAATGCTTATACCATGATCTTCCTAAAAGCCCGTCTCGGTCTGTAAGTGCTCGTTCTGCCATCACGAGTCTGTCATTCAGCTCTCTCAGCTTGGAGTTTATCTCTCTTCCATATTGATTTCCAATCTTTGTTTTGTTGTGCTGCCTTGAGAATCATCACATTTTCTCAACACATGAAAACTTCTATTCCAGCAAAATCATAATTTTTTAAAGCTTATGCATACCTCTCTCTCTGGTTGTTTATATTTTGCGGCAGCGTTTCTCAGCTCCTCTATGGACTTGAACAAAGGAGATAAGGCTTACGTCCTTGTTACCCGAGACCTCATTTTCGACTCCCTTCATGTATTTCTGCATGCAGAATTTAATGCAATCATAATTGTCTCCACAAAAAAATCTCTATATGATTAATGTGGATTCTACAGATCTAATTAATTTTCACGTCGTATACACAAACCTGAAGTTCTTCTGCATATGAGAGATAATTAAAAGGCAAGACCTCTGCGTCTGCTAGCCAAAGAGCTACACTTGCCACTGTTCTCATCGTTAATTAAACCGTTTTGAGGGACTTAAAATAATAAATAATTCGAAGATGCAGAACTAACTGCAAAAGTTCATGTACGACGTTATATCTTTGTTTTGTCTCGTGCTACTTCTATTCCGTGCATTGTACAAGATTTGCTTTACTGTAAATATGCGTAACTGATATACAATGGAAGCCCTCCTATCATTGCTTTCGGTGGCGGGGTCAGCCTTTAACTTCAGTAATGAGACATTATTTCAGTAGGAGTTTAAATATAAAATTTTAAAATTTTTAAAATTAATATTTTTTTAAAAAAAATTTGAGTGAGGGCGGCTGTCTCGCTCATTTTCAAGTGGCTCCGTCACTGATTGGTTATGACTATTATGTTTAAAGGCCTTCTTCTTTATTTATGTGCAATATTTTCGTGATATTAAGGAACCGGGGATGTTTAACTGACTGACCTGCAACATGCCTTTGAAACATTGGATCACCAAAATTCTTCATCCAAGTTAAAACATCGTACAACGAATGATAGACTGGCTATCCTGTAATGTTATGGGCATAATTTAGATATATTTCGATGCATATACGTACTTCTTGAACTTTTCCGACAAAGAAGAAGCCGTCTTACCATTGTCAAAAGACATCATAGCCGCTGGAATTCCTATGTGGCACAAAAGCTGCGAAGTCTGTCCTCCTCTTCCTAACCTCCCAATCCTTACATAAGAACAGGTTTTATCAGCTCCGGTAGTTTTCACTAAAATTTTAAAACCTGGTAGAATGAAATCATTTTCCGGGGTTTATGTGTGATGTAGTGTTCTTTTCTCCTACTAATACGAACTTAGTAAATCCGAGATTAATTAGGTATATCCGGGATTTATCATTAAATTTTTCACTTATCTATATTAATACGAACTTAATAAATCCTAGATTTATCAGGTATATCCAGAATATACCATTAGAATTTATACATTTTTCCCTAGTAATATGAACTTAATAAATCATGAATTTACTATGTATATCCGGAATTTACTATTATAATTTGTATTATTTTTTTTCAAGTGATTTTAACTTGATAAATCCTGAATACACCTGAATTTACCAAAGAAAAAGAGAAAAAATGGCAATAAAAGGATAAAATTAGAAAACTAAAAATTAAAAACATGAATTAATCTATTAATTTCTATTCATTGATCCCTTTTATTAATAGGCTTTAGAATTTTCTAAGCGACCAAATAGATGGAGGAGGATAACACTAATTATTCTCTTTTTTTCTATTTAACAAATAAAAAAGAAGATTAGAGACGTGGAATAAAAAAATAATAATATAATTTTACCGGAAAAGATTCTATTGGAGGCTCAAAATGGCATTGTGAAGATGTAATATTGGGGCAAAATAACTAAATTTTTTGTTGTTACACTTTTGCAAGATAGTCATTACACCATTAATGTATATGTAGAAGAAAATTAAATGTTAAAAGAGTTTTTTTTTTCTTTTTCTTTTTCTGTTTCTCATGCTCACTATGATGTGAAATACAACAAGGTTTCTGAATAATCATAAACGTATCTTTTGGTATCTATGATGGAGAAATACTTTTCAAGGTTGGAAATTTTATCAGCGTTTCTGAAACCAGACTGGTGTGAAGATGTAGAGAGGAGCTGAAAAAGACATGGAATAAAACAACAATAAGGTAATTCTGTTGGGGAAAGATTCATGTATTAAACGCATGTCTTTTTCTATTGAATTTATTATTATCCGTGACCATGCTATTTGTTTTGAGAATCAGAAAAGTCTTATTAGGTTTTTAGCTTTTATTATTGTTATTGTTATGAACGGTAGTTGTCTGTCAAAATTACTATGTAAGTCAGTTAAAATTACCATGTAGGTCAGTCAAAATTATTGTTTATGTTAGAATCTTACTATACAAATAGTAACCGTAAATAGTAAATACTGTGTAAATAATAACTATGAATAGTGCTGAAAATTTTTCTATAAATTGAGTTCTAAGGCTCTTCATTTTGTATATCTTCACGAGATTAATGAAACTCTCTCTCTAATTTCTCTCTCTAAAGTTCTTCTTAATTTTGCATTTTTTTTAGTTTTCTTATCATGTAAGACAAAGGGTTGTGCTCAATGATGTTGGATGATTTTTGAATCGTAAAAAGAAATACATACAAAACTTTTTATGTTAACTTGTATTTGTTTGTGACTGTTGGTTAATGAACTATAGAATCCTACCCAATATTCCCATAATCTGTGTCTGATTTGGATAAAAAGAGAATGAGAAGTAAATCCCTCCAAAAACTCTATTTGTTTTTGTTTGTTTCCCTTGAGCAAAATATGCTAATTCCAGTCCTTGATCAGCACTAAGTTATAATATAAAATGAAAAAGAAAAGGTAAAGTTTAAAATAAAATAAAAAGAAAGATGATTCAGGAATCAATTAGCAGAAAACTCACGTGGTTCAACCTCACTGGTCCAGCTGGTTCTATTGACCACCTGGCTTATACTGTTTGGACTGACTTGATCACGGGAACTATACTTTTTTAATGTCCATTGTTGATTTAATACTTTAATGACATTGCCAGTCTTCAGTTTGTGTCTAATTCTTACCTAATTCCATGCCACTTGATTTTCAATATTGGAAATAATTAGCTTGTGATTAGCACCTTTGATCTTCTGCTTTTGATGTACAAATGTACCTTTTTGTTAAGCCCTAGCCAAAAGGCCCAACTACAATTATACCATCTTCGGACAATTACTTATATGACAACATTTAGTTGGTGTTAGCCTCTGGTGTTGAATAATAAATAACACATAGCAGAATTCATAGTTCCTTTGCTATGGAGCATTCTGTGATAGGATATCCTAATGATAAACAAATTCTTATACATCTAGACGTCATCAAGTATAATAGAACATAGTTTTTAACTGTTAGATCATATCAAAATTATATTAAATTAAATTAAATATAATATTTAAATAAATAAAATTGATAAATTAAAAACTGTATAATTGGTAGGGTATTTTTTGAATCTGGTCAAGAATTCCCTCTTTTTTTTTTTTTTGCTCTCATAGTTTTGATTCTCAATAGTAACTTAGCTAGCTGCAAGAGCTGCCAAATTCAGTCAATGGAAATCCAACACGTGGATTTCTGTCCTTAGTCGAGCAATTACATGCATTGCCTCTCGCAAAAGCTGTATGCTGGGCTGTGGTGATGGTGGAACTGGACGGTGGTGGTGGCTAAAGAAGGCCACAAAAGGTAATTGGGACATCATCAACAGAAAAGCACAAAAAGATTTAAACAAAAAAGAGCTCTAGCCTCTAATCATTCCAAAACACATTAAAAAAAAAAAAAAATTTAGTTCTTATAAGTATGATCTCTTTCACATCACCAAAATTCTCCACGCCAGTAGATGTTGGTAAGAGCTAGTCTCATTAAATTATTCAGGTACTTTTTTGTTTTTCCTGCAAGTGGACCTAGGTATTGTCTCTGCTACATTAACTACTACCTATTTGGCAACGAAGAAGCCAACTTAATCTCAACCATTCAATATGATGAATGAGGTTGTGATTACTTTTGGGTTCCAATTATTTGAGAAATTATTTAGAAACAATACCGATGATGGACACGTATGTGAATCCATGGGTACGGAACTTATTCCACTGGTGTCATATAGTATTATTCTTGACGGCCATGATTGAAAGTAGGTAAAGAAAGGGGTATGAAACCAATTAGTATTATATTAGCTATTCAAGAGACATCATATAATCCTCTCACGAATCTATTCACAATCACACACAAACAGAAAGAGAGACACTCACGGGCAACACCAGGCTAGTGAGAAAGAAACAACAACATCAACAACAACAACAAAAAGGTGTCAAAAAAAAAAAAAAGTTTCTTAGAGAACGTTTTTCTAAGCAAAAAAAGTGCAACCTGTCTTGTGGCTTAGATTGTTTCCCTTTCTCTCTCTCTCTCTTTCTATGAAGAAGCGCCCGTGACTTCTTTTCTTTGTCGTTGGTTCTCCAAATCAGCATCACTTTCCAACTAAAACGAAGGACTAACTAAACTGACTTGTATATAAACCATGAAAGACAGACATTTTCTGTATGGCACTTCAAATTCCAAGCTGAGAGAGACCATTAATTTCCTCTCTTCTCAACCCTACCACTTTTCTTCTTTTTCTCTTTCAAAATGTCAATACTCCAGAGACTATTCTATGCGCTTGTGATTCTTCTTCTCTTCAATTCTGGCCAAACTTTGTGCCATACAAAGGGAATTCGGCCGAGGAGATCGGCTAATAATAAGCAGCTTCCCGCAAATATGACTAGAGCACAACTCTCAGAACAGCAATTCATTAAGTGGGTCAAGTTTGTTGGACATCTTAAGCATTCTGTTTTCAAGACAGCAAAGAACAAGCTCTTCCCTTCTTTTACTCTAACCGTGTCGAAGAATCCGGCGACCGGAGACTTCACGTCGATTCAGGATGCTATCGATTCTCTCCCATTCATCAATCTGGTGAGAGTGGCCATCAAGGTCCATGCAGGTGTTTACACGTGAGTTCTCGGGCAAATATGTTTCCATTGTTTCCACATGAACTCTTGTCTATTTTTCTGTCCTTTCCTCTGTTTTTATCCTCGCCCATGTTAGTTTTCTGTTCCACTGAGCCACGGATTTTTGGGGTTTTGTCCATATATTAAACGATAGGCTAGTTTTTATTCAATGTGACATAGGAAATTGATTCTAAGCATTTGTTTATTTCTGCTACTGTCCTTTTCTTCATGATCAAAATGCTCTTGGAGTTCTTTTTTGACTTGGTAATACTCTGTTGTCATTGAATTATTACTACTAATTTTTTAATGAAATGTGAATTGCAAAGCGGGGAAATTTTAAAATGTGGAAAAATTGCAGGGAGAAAGTGAATATACCACCGTTTAAATCATTCATAACCATAGAAGGAGCTGGTGCAGACAAAACCATTGTTCAATGGGGAGACACTGCTCAAACACCCGGCCCAAGAGGGCAGCCTTTGGGGACCTACGCCTCTGCAACTTTTGCCGTGAATTCCCCTTATTTCATTGCCAAGAACATTACATTCAAGGTGAGTAGTTTTCCACTCTAGTTGTAAAATTGTCGACATTTAAATTTCCATGATCTTTTTTATGCATGTTTTATGTGGGACTTGGGGGCATTTCACTATAGTATTCTCTTGTATGAGTGGGGGAGCCACCTCAGGACGAGTGTGGACAACCGCCCCCACTGAATTTTATTATTTTTTCTAAAACAACCTTTATAAATTTGTGACATTTTAATTTTGTCCTATTGGGGTACGATTTTTTTCTATCTACACCCATTGAACTTCACACATATTTATTTTTATTTGTGTGCTTCAAAAAAAAAAAAAAAAGTGTACGGTTTCAGTCAAGTAAAAGTCTGGCTCCGTTACTACTTGTATCTCTATATCTCTTTTTCTCATCGTAAAATGTGGCGCAGAACACTACGCCGGTGCCCGCCCCGGGAGCAATTGGGAAGCAGGCAGTTGCATTTAGAATATCAGCAGACACAGCAACATTCTTGGGATGCAAATTCTTGGGAGCACAAGACACACTCTATGATCATTATGGGAGACATTACTACAAGGATTGTTACATTGAAGGCTCGGTAGATTTCATATTCGGAAATGCGCTCTCTCTGTTTGAGGTCATTCCCCCCCTCCAAAGCACATTCTTCTTTAATCAAACCAACTCCATTTTTGTTTGGGAGACTTTCCGTTCATTTCACCGATTTGAGTTTAAAATTTGAATTTTGCTACAGTAAAAAGCTCTCAGAAACAGTCACATCTAATTTTTTTACTACAGTAAAAAACTATTACATAAAGTCACATCTCAACTCGAATTAAAAACTCAAATCAGCGAACTGAACGGACCCAAGTATCATTGATCGAGATTCTTCTTCAACAATTTAAAAATTATCATTTAAAGTCGTATGGATTTGAGGATCACAATTTATACCTAAAATAAAAGCTCAGAAACTCTGCGAGTGTCCAACTTTATAGCAAATACAAAGTGGGCGACACCTAAGTGTTGGCATATTTTCTATTTACTGTGAAGTTGGGGGGCTCCGCGATTGTCCAACTCTGTTACAAATATAAAGTGGGCCACATCTAAATATTGGCATACTTTCTATTTATTGCGGAGCTGAGGGCTTTCGATACTACTAGAAACCCTATTTCATGAGGTCTTATAATTGACATGAGAGTATATTATTAGCTTAATAATGTTCTCTGTGTATATATATATATATATATATTATATATAAATGTGTGACACAAGAATGGAAAATACAGGGATGTCACGTGCACGCAGTAGCACAGTTAACAGGGGCACTAACAGCACAGGGAAGGAAGAGCATAATGGAAGACACGGGGTTCTCATTTGTCAACTGTAAGGTCACGGGTTCAGGAGCTCTCTATCTTGGGAGGGCATGGGGTCCTTTCTCCACAGTGGTCTTTGCCTACACATATATGGACAACATTATCATTCCCAAAGGCTGGTATAACTGGGGTGACCCTAGCCGTGAAATGTAAGTCTTAATTTGCCTTATTCAACTCACTCAACATAAAAAATCCCTACATAATATTCGAAATGTTAAAATCAGACGGCAATAAAAAAATACGGGACGGACCAACCGTAACTATCATTTTAGGACGTGATCAAAGGACTCTTAACATGAAAGATTAATGTTTGTGTTGAGTCATAACTATTTGTATCAGGAGACGAAACGTGTCACTTTAGTCCCATACTAATAAAAATGATGAGCCGGTGACTTGAAAAATTAAAATGTTACGTAGTTCTATGAAAAGAAAAGGATATATTATACTCTTGTTGGTGATATATTAGAGATAGAGGGTATTATTAAATTTATTCCCTCTTTAATTTCCAATTGGCCTTAGGTGTTTGTCATCTTTACATCTACGGAAGCACAGTTACTTTGTCAATAATATAAAAGGCAACCTGGCATTTTGATGCCAAAATGGGCCGGTTGCTCTTGAGTGACCCAACCAACCATGACAGGCCATAATATTGTCCTTTTTTGCCATTTTCTACTACAAACATCTACGTGTAACACACCAAAACAAGCCCATATAAAAAACCCCCTCTATATATATCCACCTAGCGAAGATAACTCGCACCTTTCTTGAAAAACAGTGGATTACCTAACCTCTGGTTTCCCTTTTTTTTTTTTCTTTTTTTTTTTTTTTTGATTTATCTTATGTTTGGGACTTTATTCATTTTGTAATGATATTGTTTGTTGTTGGCAGGACGGTGTTTTATGGGCAATACAAGTGCACAGGACCAGGAGCAAACTTTGCAGGAAGAGTGGCATGGTCAAGAGAGCTCACTAATGAGGAAGTCAAACCTTTTATTTCACTTAGCTTCATCGATGGCTCTGAATGGATCAAATTGTGATAACAATATATATTGCATATTCATATAATACCAAAAAATAAAATATATATCTTTTGTAAAATCAGCTCGCTCTACCCTTTTTTTTTTTTTTTTTTTTTTGACAATTTTGCTTAAACATAAGAATATGGGTACAGTTCATTAGAAGACTGTATATCTTATTGCTGCGATAAGCTCTAATCTTAGACAATAAATAAATTATTTGCAAGTATGCCCCTAAATCTGAGTATCTTCTCAAGCCAATTTGGTCCGAGCAGAAAACAAAGTATGACGTGAGAATGTAATGTTAGAATAGAAGACAAATGGGTTATAAGCCCAAAAAAACGTCGACCACAATATGCATTTGTACTGCATAATACTGCAGATTGTTTTACCCATTATTCTGATGTCAATTGCTATATGTTAAAAAGTAGTTAGTTCCTAGACAAGTTTTAGATCAGAAAATGAGGGTTAAGAAATCAATGAAGACTACTAGCCTATGAATCTTCTTCCTTCACAAGAAGAGAATGTCTAAGGTGAGTCAACAAGGTAACAGCAAAATACTTGAAACATGGTGTAATTCTCTTAATTAGATTGCATAGAACTTTTGAAGTAATGTAATTATTTTAATTACTTTCTATTTTTTGTTTTTCACAAGTAACATTTTCATGCGTTATAAAGGCAATATCACCCTTATTCTAATCTATTTCAATAAGTAACCCAGTAGTTTATTTTATCAGTAAGTAGACAATCGATTAACTTATCCTCTCACCTCTCTCATACCTCATTCATTCTCCAACTAACTCAGAAGAGGAAAGGGAGAAAAAGAAAAGGATGGAATCTGAGTGCGTGTTTAGAACCGCTTTTAAAATTTTGAAAAGTAAAAAATGAAAATGAAAACGAAACGACGTTTGTTTAGCAAAGGATTTGAAAACGAAAACGAAAACAGTGAGAATGATTTTTGTGAAGGAATTAGAAAACTGTTGAAAGTTGTTTTCACTTTTCTATTTTCATTTTTAGTACTTATTAACAATATTATAATATATTAATTAATTAATATGATTTTACTTTTTTATTATACTTAAAATAATCTCTTAAAAAATCAACTAAACGCAATTTCAGAATTAGTCCCAGAATGATTCTCAAAACAATCTCATTTTTACTTTTTATTAAAAACAAAATCATTTTAAAATTAATTCCAAACGCACCCTGAGAAGCAGAAATACTACAGTGTTTTCTCTAATAGAAAATCAAATTCATTTAATTTTTTTTATAGTATTTTCTCTCATATAAATTTACTTTTCAACTCATGTTCTTAAATTAGAACCCGCAAAAGAATGCATGTCCATATGGCCCCCACGCATGTAATGTCGTTAGAAACAGTCACATCTAACAATTAAATTCAAATCAAATTTAACTTTTTTCTTATAATATTTTCTCTAATATAAATTCACTTATCAACTCAACAGGCCTCCGAAGTAACACGTCCATATCGCCCCCACTCAGGTAATGCCATTAGGACTAAAAGCAGTCCTTGGAGCCTAGATGCAGCAAATCTATCTATTGGGCTTGCCCAAGAGGTGGGCTTTTGTTGCCAAAACTTTGCTTCTGGTACGATCCCAAGAATAAGTCCAATTTATGGTTCGGAAATAGTAGAATACAGGCCAATATAAAAATTTTAATGAAGTATATAGGTCAATTTTTAGTTATAAAAATTAATAAGTTATAATTTGTTAAGTTATAATTCATAATCAGATAAGTTATAGATAAACTTGTCAAGTTATGATTCATAACTAGACAAGTTATAGATAAAAACCGTGATTTATGGATAATAACTTGTTAAGTTATGTTCATAACCAGATAAGTTATGGACGAAAATAATAATTTGGCATATTTATTAATTTATGTAAATTATTAACCTATTAATTTTAATTCATCTCAAATCTTGATCTATTTTCCTATTTCTCCCTTTATAGTTCACCATTAGCAGTCAAGAGTAGGGATTTTCCCTTTTCTCAAAAACATCACGAAAATATGACATGCATGCCATCTGTTGTTTTGCTTGCCTTTTTGCCTGTGTGCCACTGAAACCATATTTAAGCGCACCAATCCAGAATCTTTTTTCAAATTTTCAGAATTCGAAGAGAAGCCGACTTATCGTCATTCCTTCCACCGTCAATTTTCCAGATTGTCTTGGAGGGAACATTCATAAAAAAGAATCTTTTTAAATTTTACGATCACAATCAATGGTCCTATTGAATTGAATGCGTAATAAATTGTAGAATCCTCCCATGGTAAAATTTGTAGTGTTACAACTTTTCATGTCAATAACTATTACAAACTCAAATAAAGGAGAACAATGGCACAAACAAATTTTTACTGTTCATTTTACCGATTTGAATTTAAAATTCGAGTTTTGCTACAGTAAAAATGTAGTGACCAAGAAAAAATCTCATAATTTTAATAATATAATTCATGTATTCAAGTCAAGGATTTTCCTGGAAAATCATTATACTATGTACATTTTGTGATTGAAGGATTTAGGGAATTAACATCTGCATTCCTAAATTCTGTAGCAGATTTCACGTTAAGTTCACATTTTTCCGATCAAGTAAATTCGATCGATAAATTCTCACCGTACTTTAAAACGGAAGAATTTTCAGTATAGATACAGTTAGAGAATCTTAATTTTAAGAATCTCCCAGCACAGTACAACCTAGCATCCAGAACCCGTATACAGGAGAAAATAACTGTCAGTATGATTTTGGACAGTTTTAATGAGTAAGTTAAGGGAATGGACAAAAGTACAAGGTGTAGGTTAGTGTGTGTGATTTGATGAGATGTGATGAGAGAGGTGAATAGGACTAATGATTAGTTTTTTTTTTCTCCTTTTTCTCTTTACTTGGCCGGCCATCCTTAGGAAGTTATATCCAAAAATTTTGGTTATATGTTGAGTGTGTTAGAAGGCTACAAGTTAAGGTGATGGGATGGTAGTGGTTGAAGGGGAATTAATGGCAATTTTGGCTTCTCCTTTTCTCCTTCCATAACCGGCCAAGATTGGGGAAAATTGAACCAAAATTTGGTTGATTGAGAGAGTTGATGTGGTGTTAAAAAAATAATTTCCAAGTGCCTATAAAAGGAAACCACCATAGGATAAGCCTCATTTTTTTTCCCTAGCTTTTCTCTCCCCCTCAAAATCCGGCCATACCATACTCCTCCACTCTTTCTCAAATATTTTCTCCTACTCCCCCAATCTTGAGCCACTACAAACCATAGAAGAAGAAGAAGGAGACCAAAGGGTCTAAGAGGAGTCTAGACAAGCATTTTTTCAAAGGGTATAACTCTAAATCCTTTTTTTATGTTTTAGTAAAGTTTGAAATGTA